GCCATTATTCCTCCCGTGACTGCCATCACTTTAGACAGCCGTGTAATATTCCGCGGGTGCTGTATGCTGTATTAGGACTTCTTCAGCTTATCCCCTGTGGCTACATTTTTGATGGTTGTCAGTCTTCTGCTCTTCCATACGTTGCTGCAAGTTAAGAATAGTGCTTGACTATCACTTTACGCGTGTGGAAGGGTCTGTAACAAATTCCCAGGAAGGAAGTGCCGGCTCAGAGAGCATGTGCCTTTGTGATTAGAAAGGCACTGCCCGCGTCATCCTCCACAGGGATGGGTTGAACCAGCTTACATTTCCACTAACAATGTCCAGGAATCTCTGCTTCCCACCGTCTTGCCAATAGAGGATGTTCACTAACTTTTGAATTTTGCCCATTGGGTGGGTGAAAATAGTACTGAAGTGTGATTTCACTGAGCATTTCTTCTATGAGCAAAGTTGAGCTTCTTTTTATTTATTTTAAAGGCCATCGAGAGTCTCCATTCTATGTTACTTTTTTATTTAAATATTTATTTGAGACAGAGAGTGAGAGAGTGTGCACGCTTGCACAAGCAGCGGGGAGGGGTAGAGGGAGAGGGAGAGAGAATCTTAAGCAGGCTCCCCGCTGAGTGTGGAGCCTGACGTGGGGCTCGATCCCAGGACCCTGAGCCAAAACCAAGTGTCGGCCGCTCAGCTGATAGCGCCCTCAAGGCACCCTTATGTTATTTTTTTCTTACTGGTTTATAGACACTCTATCTATAAGGAAGATGAGAGCCTTTTTTTTTTTTTAATTTTTAAAAAATATTTTATTTCTTTATTTGACAGAGATCACAAGTAGGCAGAGAGGCAGGCAGAGGCGGGGGCGGGGGGGGAAGTAGGCTCCCCAGCGAGCAGAGAGCAGGAAGCGGGGCTCGATCCCAGGACTCTAGGATCATGACTTGAGCCGGAGGCAGAGGCTTTAACCCACTGAGCCACCCAGGCGCCCCAGCCTTTGTTTTATATCCTTAAGAAGTGCTTTGTTCCACTTCTCTCTGCTCCCAGGTCTTGCTCTCTAGGGACCTGGAGACCGTGGGAGCACAGACTCTGTAAGTAGCCCCTGCCCTCTGGGGACAAGCCCCAGGCCCTGGGCCCTCCTGGGGGCTTCGGCTGTCTGACGAGCCAGCCTCAGGGACCCACCAGGTGTCTCCTGCCCATTCCTGTGCTGCTCCCTCCACTTCAGTGCCCTGTTCCGCCCGTGACTGTGGAAATACCCCCCACCCGCCCACCGTGTCCCTCAACATCCAGCTGCCTTTGATGTTAGCCTCCCAGGGAGCTCTCCCCCCTGGTCCGGGCCCTTCCAGACAGAAGCAACCCCCTCTTTTCCCGCACAAGACAGTGCAGGTGCCTCGTGCAGACATCACTGCTAATGGCCGTTATTGTCCTGCCTTCGGCTTTGGAAGCCGTCTTTCTTTCCTAATACAATAAAGCTCATTTGAGAAACAGCCAGTATAAGCAAAGGAACACTAAAGTAATCCCAACACTAATATTTCAGCGCACATCCTTCCAGCCTTTGTCTTTGGGCTGCGGAGATGGGTGCGAGGTATCGAAGAGATTAAAATGGGATTATATTCCACAAATGACTTCGCCCAGAGCTCCTTTCACTTCCTGTGTATGTGGTACCCCCCCGTGTGTTCCCGCCCCCCGTGGTCTGCTACACGGCGACTTGTGATGGCTTTACTGACCAGACTTATTTAACGGGTCCCCCGTGATTGGGAATCAGGTCACTTCTAGTTTTGTTGTTTCTGGAAACAGCTGCAGTGAGTGTTCTTATCAACGGACTATGTGTGTGTGTTTCTTTCTTTAGAACAGAAGACATTCCTAGAAATCCAATTTTAGGGTCCAAAGGTGTTTAGAATTTGAGGTGTCTGTACAGCGGGGACCATCCCCCCCAGTAGCGAATAGAGTATGGTTCCTCTCCTGCAGCTCATCTCTTCCCTCTGTGGTTGAGGAGCTTCCCCAGGGAAGATGCTGGCCTGTCTCCCCTGCGCAAGCACCCAGTCTGGGCGCAGGCTTGGACCGGCTGTTGGAATGTTCGGTGACATGAACTCATTCAATCAAGAGAGAGACTCTTCAGTCTGGTTCGGTCCAGGTCAGTCTCTGCGGAACGCTTGTGTCTGCAAAAAAAAAAAAAAAAAACAGAACAAAACAAAAAAAACCTGATGCTAAGGACTTTTGTTCCTAAAATGTGTTTAAAGCCCTAAATGTTAAAACAAACCAATAACCAATAGCAGCAGCGAACCCTAGACGGGTTAGTGCAGTCGTCCTTGTCTTGGCACGGTTGTAGGTCCTTTCAGGCGGAGAAGCCCAGGTCAGCCGTGAGCCACAGACCCTATGGGGCGGCCGAGAAGAGAAGGGGTCCGGTCCCAGCAGTGTTGACCGCCCCCCCCCACCCCCCAGCAAAGATAGGGCTGGTGCAGAGCCAAGTGTGGCGACTAGGCTGGACAGCATGCTTTCCAGGCTTCCAGCCTCACGGAGACCTGAGCCCCCAACCTGGGCCCCTCTCCTCCACTTGCCCTTGACCCCCGAAGCAGTCTAAGCTCCTTTTATGACTCCCAGGGCCCAGCCGATGGGAGGTCATCAGTGACCGTGTGAGGCTGGGGCTGGCGACCCCATGTGTGTGGTCTCCTCCAGGACGACTCTCTAGCCAAGTTTGCGACCCCTCTTTGGGCTGATGAAACCGAGGCCCAGAGCAGGCCAAGGGGCGTGCATGTCCAGCTGCCAGGGCCAAACTCCTGCGGGGACAGAACGGTCACCGGGAGAGAGGTGGGCCGAGGACGACCTCATGCGAGGGGCGATTCACACACAAACAGCACTCGTGTGTGGAGGAAGAATAGTTTCTTTGCACAAATAAGACTTTTGGCTCTGTTTCCCAGAAGCACCGTAGCTCGGAGCAGCGCTGCTCCCGAAAAAGAAAGAAAAGATATGGTGAGGGAGGAGAAAAAGCCTTTCAGTGACGGAACAGTTGCTCTGGGGCAGAGGGCATAGGGCAGGGGGTAGGGGTGGCGTGGAAGGGCAGGCTGCTGCCCTTCTGCCTCCGCCGTCAGACTGGGCCAGGCCCTGCTGCAGGGACTTCAAGCCCCTGACAGACTTCTCTGCTGACAAGGACCAGGCCAGGGATGCCAACTGTCATGCTGGGATCTGCCACTCTGGCCAAACAGGCTGTTCTGAGGCAGACACAGACCACCCCCCCTCAACCCCTGGCCAACAAAAAACCTACTTAACACGCACACGCACACACACAGAGTCATATCCGGAGCCGTCCCGACACACACATGGGAGTAAAAGCACACTTCCTTGTGTGGCCTCCTGTCACCTCCCTGACCTGTCAGCCACAGTACCACAGGTCTCTGTGAGCCCCAGAGATACCCTGTGTGCCCAGCTGGCCACACTCGCCATCCGGTCAGTTTCCCCCAGGGCTGCAGCCCCTGCTGGTCCCATGTGTCCCCCTTCCCTGTGAGGACAGAGGGGCCTGCCATGTCCCCCGAGCTGGGCACAGTGTCTGGCACGTGAGGACAGCCACCGCAGTGCTGGGCCTCGAGTGTGCCCTACCCTCTGCTCCAGGTTCCTGGAAGTGGCCCCTGGTGACTTGGCCGGGCCTGGCGGGTCAGGGTGAGGCCCGCCGTCGCCACGGGCACTGGCTCTAGAGGAGACGTGGGTGGGTCTGGACACCCCTCCCAGGTGTCTGTCCCTTCCATTTGTGCATATGGGTCCCAGGGTCTGATGGCCAGCAGGGGGCTCAGCGGGCCCAGGGCAGAGCTTCTGAGGGTCCCGGTCCTGACCTCTGTCTGCTCAGAAAACACCCCCGACAAGGTGTGCTCACCGCCAGGCCTGCCATGCACGCTCCTTCGGGGTCCTTGCTGGGGCTCAGCCCTTTTACTCCTCATCCAGTGGCCGGAAACCTCCCAGGCCTTACCTCCACCGCTCGCCCCTATTCAGCATGCAGGGCCCAGCCCGGCCCAGCCCACAGCCCCCTCCTCCAGCTGGGCAGTGGGATTGTGGGAGAGCCTAATGGAGACACTGCTCCCACTGAGCTTAGGGGCACCTTCCCCTCCAAGGTGTGCCCAGCCTACGGGTCTCCTTTACTGCTGGGCGGCTGTGGGGCACCAAGGGCTGCAGGACACCATGGGGGACAGACTGCGGACACCTGCTGGGGCGTGGCCACACGTGTTCACCTCCTCCTCCTGGCACACCCACAGGGATACCCCATGACCCCCACCTTGTGTTTGTGACACTTTTTTCCTCCTGGGCCCCCGGTAAGACTGTATTTTACATCATAACCTAGAACGGAGAACACAGGCACAGTACCCCGAACTAGGTGGTCGGGAAGCGGTAGTGGCCCTGAGTGAGAGGGACACACACTGATACTTGACCTTGTCTTCTCCTGTCCTGTTGTTTTGTCTGTCATTGGAAAACTAAACTTCAGTTGGACTGAACCCACTAAGTGGCTTTCATGGCTTCCTGGTGAGTTTTCCACATTGGCTTTTGGGAAGGACAGTTTACTGCGTGGGGTGACATCTTAAGTCTTTGGGACGTTAGCTTCCCCGGCTCCCCCGCTGCCAATCCCGTGCTCAATCTCAGGAATGCCTCATGTGCCAGCAAATCAAAGCCCCCAAACATTTCCAGATGGCCCCCTGGTGTGTGGTATCGCCTCTGACCCCATGAGTGGAGGGTCGGCAGCCGGTCCTCAGGCTCCTTGGGTTGTCCCACGTCCTCTCCAGCCCTTGGTTTGGTCAGTCTTTCGTTTTGGCCATGGTGGGGTGTGTGTGTGTGTGTGTGTGTGTGTGTGTGTGTGTGTGTGTGTGATATTGTTTACCATCCACCAGAGTAACTTCCGCCTTGTATTGCCATCTATGCTGCTATGAACATGTGCATACACATCTCTCTTTGGGTCCCTTCTCTCAGTTCTAGGCATCTTCTTTACTGGATTTTAGGGTAGTTCTGTGTCAAAAAAATTTTTTTTCAAGTACACTCCACACCCAACGTGGGGCTCGAACCCACGACCTCGAGATCCAGAGTCCCCTGCTCTACCAGTTGAGCGAGCTGGGCACCTGGTGTGTTGAATTTCTGAGGAGCCGCCGTACTGTCCTCTGTGGCGAAGGTACAGTTTGCATTCCCAACAGCAGGGCACGGGGTTCCGGTTTCTCCACATCCCCAGCAGCACCGTCCGGATGGGTGTGAAGTGGCTGCCCCTTCCGTTTGAATTTCCCCGATGATGAGTGATACTAAGCATCTTTTCACGCGTTTATTGGCCATTGGTATGTTTCCCTGGAGAAGTGGCCATTCGAGTTCATTCTCAGTGTTCGAGTTAAGATGTCTGCTGTTGTCGGGGTGGTGATCCTTTCTTAGTCTCACGCCTCACCGCCCCCAGCTGTCTGGCTCCCCAAAACCAGGTCTGGCTGAGTGCTGGGCCAGTGACCCCTCTTGGAAGGGGAGCCTCTGGCCGAGTTGAGCCTTTTGATGGCTGAAGCCCCAGCCAGCAGCTCGACTGTCACCTTGAAGGAGAGCCTGAGTCACAGCCACTGCGTTAAGGGGCTTCTAGTTACGCAAACCCCCCCCCACCACCACCACCACAAGCAGCGTGAGATCGTGCATGCTTGTTGCGTGGAGCTGCTGAATTTAACATGAAACTCAGGCAGGTGTCTCTAGAAAAAGCCATCCGCAGGGAGGCAGTGGTGAAGGCCGCTGGAGACGGACAAGGAAGTCCTTATAAGATCCGAGTGGAAGGACGGGGATTTCGACACGCAGGAATCAGGGGAGATCGCTAACCATCCCAAAGCCAAGGACAGCAGCGTCACTGGGAGGAGGGAGGAAGGTGGGCGGGGACACTGGAGAGGACAGGGGTCTGCAAGTGACAGATGTCACCCCATGTGTGCCTTCGGCTCTCAGCCTTTTCATTTTAGGACCATTCTTTTTTTTTTTTTTTTTTTTTTTTAAAGATTTTATTTATTTATTTATTTGAGAGGGAGAGAGTGAGAGAGAGCATGAGAGCTGAGAAGGTCGGAGGGAGAAGCAGACTCCCCATGGAGTTGGGAGCCTGACTGGGACTCGATCCCGGGACTCCGAGATCATGACCTGAGCTGAAGGCAGTTGCTTAACCAACTGAGCCATGCAGGCGCCCTCGTTCTTAATGACCATATTACATTCACACATTGGTATTGGAAGGATAGCAGCAGTAGCTTGTGTTTGTGGGGTCCTCACTACGGACCACGTGCCATTTGAAGCCCTCTCTCCATGAAGTGCGTTAGCTCAACCACACGGCCTGTGAAGTGGGTGGTGTCATGTCCTCCACCCTGACCAGCAGACCACCAGCTTACCCAGTCACCCAGCCCACCTGACACGGAGCATCCTGGCAGGGTTTCATTGCATTGGGTTGGGTTGGGTTGGGTTAGGGGTGGTGATCAAATGAAATGTGGGTTTTTTTTGTTTTTCTCCCTGTCTCTCCGGGCTTTTTGGATCAGCTGTACATTTCATCAGGCGATTTCTATACCCTGTGCCACTTACCGAGGAATTCATGGACCAGAGCTGGGTCAAGGCAGGGCCCTGTTGGCCTACCTCTGCAGACCTCCCTCCAGGAGGTCCACCAGCAGCCCCCCAGTTGGGGTTCCCAGGCCAGAAATGCATTTCCCTCTGACTGTTTTCAGGGGGCCGGGCTCCGGCCCCCAGGGGCAGTCACTGTTGGCTTTCCTGCCCTAGTGACACATTGTCTCATGCCATTTCTGCACAGGCGGGTTCCTCCATTCTGCTCCTCATCCCTCTGGGCTCCCAAATACTTAGGGATGAAACCGCTCTAGAATGAGAAAGGCCTTACTGAGCCCTGGGCCTGCTCGTGCCCAGCTATCTCTTTGGGGGGCAGTGGGGGTGCCCCGGAAACGCCAGGCACTTCTCCCCAGCGGCTCACTGCCGTGTTGCCTGGCAACTGGCTTCTCCTTATCAGCTCCCAGACAAACTCCAGCCAGATCCTGAAACGGCCCCACCTGTTTTTCAGTTTGTGGTTTGGGTTTTTTTTTTGTTTGTTTTTTTTTCTTTTAATTTTAGGAAGTGAAATGAACAACACTCATTCTGGAAGGGGAAGATAAGGCTCAGATCTGCCGGAGCGATGTCTGCTGGGAAGAAATCTCTTTTAACTTGTGGGCAATTTTCCAGCATGGCTCGGGTGGCGGGGAAGCTGGCGGCACAGTCGTGGAGAGACTTGGACGGCAGGCTGTGGGCACAGGCCAGCCAGGCGCAGTAGCTGGGATGGCATTTCGTCAGGACCTGACTTGGAGATCCGCTGAGCAAGGGGGCCTGGATCCCATCACCAAGCCAGCCACCTACACCCTCCCGCTCACCCACTGGGAGCATTGCAGGCCTTTGCTGTCCAAGGGTTAAATTTCCCAGACCTTTTGTTGCTTTTTAAAATGCAGCTTGATCCTCCTTGACACTGGAGAGGCATTCCTTGCTTTATTGCCATCTGGAAACTGTTCTGTCTGGCTTCCGAGGTGGCCTCGTTGCTACATTGAGTCTCTGGGAGAACACATTCCCAGGATGTGTTTGGAAGCAAATACTAGAGAATAATAGAAAACCTAGTGCAAAATGGCTTAATAATAAAGGGAATTTATTTCAGTAAAGAACCAGTAGAGAAGACTTCAGGTCAGGATCGATCCAGCAGCTCAGTAGTAGTGTCTCCAAGGACTCAGTTTAGGATGGTAACTGGCCAACTGGGCTATGGGATTCCTTGTTTATTCCTACCCCTGAACCAATTCTTATGACCGGGGAGATGAGAACACCCTGATTTGCCGGGTCCAATTAGGGTTCACCCAAACCATGGGGGAGACTACAGAATGGGGGTGGGACAGACTGAATTTTATGGAGCACAGAGTGTCTACTAGATCCTTTCCTAATACACAAGTATGATGACTGTTGTGGATCTGACCTGAACTGATCTGATTTGAGTTGTTCTCTGTCAACCTGCAAGTCTGTTCTTAGAGGGGATAACCCTGTTCTGAGTCTCAGTGGTGCTGTCCCTTCCCTATCTCATGTTCTTGCCTCTGTATGCTCTACTTTCTGCCATGCCTGTCTCCCTTTGAGCCCTCTGTTGCTCTGTGCTTGGTCTACCACAGGGCCTTTGCACAGGTTGTTCCCACTGCCTGGAGTGCCAGAGACAGAGCAAGACAGAGAAGCAGAGAGAAATCAGAGGAATAGATGAACAGGGGGCAGTCCTAGAGCATGCCACTCTTGATCTTGGGCTCATAAATTTAAGCCCCACGCTGGGTGGAGAGATGACTTAAAAATCTTTAAAACAAACCCAAACCCAACAGATTGACACGGGTGGAGAGAGGAGGGTGAGAGGCCCACAGAGAAAGAGGTTAGAGGTGTTTTGGGAGGCAAGGTTGATCTGCTGACCAGCCCATGGGGTCTCCCCTGACCCAACACATGATTTCTGGTCACCACGGCCATGGCTGTGGCCAGACTTGGCCAACATGCCCTCACTTTCTGGGCACTGGTATAGCGGCTGCCACCAGCTTTCTGGGTGCAAGACTGGAAGCAGGTGCTGGACCAGACCCCCAGAGTGGCTGGGTACCCAGGGCATGGTGGGCATCCGGGAAGGGCTGGTCTCCCCCTCAGCCACCAGGGTCTGGGGCATCAACAAGTTGTCCAAACCAGATGGGTCCAATCTGTTGAGTACAGATGGGGAGACTGAGGCCCTGGAGGTGGGGACCAACCAAAGATCCCCAACCACCTTGGGGCAAGACCAGGGCTCTCTTAGTCCCTTTGGCCTGCTGCCCCATCCTAAGGGACCAATAGAGAAGGTGGCCCAATGTCCCATCACCAGGCCCCACCACTGAGTGGCTGTCTCAGAAGGCTTCCAGAAGGGTCACTGCAGCTCACCATTTCTGTGTACTGAGGTGCAGTGCAAGGTCCTGGGGGCAGGGAGCCCCAGGTGGGCTGTGCTGGGCATGTGGGGTCAGACTTGTGTCATCCCATAGGGTATGGCCAGCAGGGGTGGGAGAGACCAGGAGGCACCCAAGTCAGCAAATGCTTCCCAGTGCCGATGCTGGGCTTAGCCCAGGCATGATGGGGACCCCACAATCATGGCAGCGTCACTGGGGCACCATGGCGGGAGGTGGGGGTCACAATCCCCAGGTAAGGGCAGGGCCCAGAGAGGTCACAGCTGGTGGAATGTCCTGGAAGGTTTTGCTGAACAGAGATAGAGGGAGCTGGGAAAACCATTCTGGGAAGTGGGGATAGGATGCTCCAAGCCCCTATGTGGGAACAGCAGGCCTGTGTGGCCTGAGGGAGGATCTGGGGCTTTCCCTATGGGACACACACACACACACACACACACACACACAGAGTGACTTTGGGGATTACAGAAGAGCAAGGGACTGGGCCTGAGGTATGACAGTCGCCTGCATGAGGGGTGACAACCACCCAGGTGAAGGGGACAGCTGCTCAGATGAGGGGTCACAGGCACCCAGATAAGGGGGAGAGGCACCCAGGTGACGGGGTGACAGCCACTCAGGTGAGAGGTTACAGGCACACAGGTGAGGGGTGACTGGCACCCAAGTGAGGGGTGGCTGGCCCGGGCCCAGGCACAGAGGAGGAGGCAGGCCAGCAGTATGGAGGAGTGAAACCCGAGGAGCTGTGGTTGGGGGGAGGCACCCCCTGCCTGCCTTCTGGTGGCCCCAGTGGGGAGGGAAGGTTCATGGTGCCCGCCATGGGAACCCCTGAAGTCTGCACCCCAGACAAGTGCTGTGGTGAGGACCGGGGGCTGGACCGAAGACCCTGGCTCCGGGGTCTTTGGGGCAGTGGGGTGTGGAGAAGGGGAAATGTAGCCCGGCATGGTGGGGGCACAGCATTTTGTGGGACTCACGGGAAACTGCCCCTGGAGTTGGCCTGCCATTCCTGGTGGGCCCCACGCTTGCAGGCCCACACTGCCCCATCTGCCAGGAGCCACCCCCACCCCATCCACTCCTTGCTGGGGGGGTTGGGAGGCAGGGCCCAGGTTGCTATGGTGATGGGACGCCTGGCCAGCAGGTGTCAGCAGAGCCTACGGAATCTGGAGG